CCCAGTATGGCCATTCTTATGATCTTATGAAAATGACTTCAGTGACCAAAAGAAAGTAAGAAAGGGCTTTCACCTGTGTAGAATTGTTGCTATCTAGGCATGACACCATACTGTGTATGATGCCAGATCTTAAAGTAGTATAGAAAATCTTCAGGCAGGTACTTTATGAAGTATGCCAGTGACTCATGCAGTATCACTTGAGTTGCATGTGCCGATAGTAAGGAGGATAGATCCTATTAAAGAGGGAAGCATAATATGACCTTTTTAATTTTGAGGGAGAAGGCAAGTTTTTCCCTTCTCTTACAAGTTTTGTTGTAGGAAAATCTCTTTAAGATAAAATTTGATCAGCAGGAAGTTTATTGGAGTAGGAGAAAAGGACTGTTAACTGAAACCAACTTTAGTCTATTTGTTTAGATTGTAAGTTCTTGGGGCAGAGACCACTTTTTTGTAATGTGTACGGTGCCTAGAACAGTGGGTGTGTATAGGCTACCACAATACAAATAATAAATAATAATAGCCTGGTAGTTTGATTATATTGGGATAAAGAATTTATAAGCCTCTTCTGACAATGGTAGGCAGAAATTAATCTATTAATGTACTTGAAAGTGATACTAAATGATCTCTCTCTCTGGGTGTGCATGCTTCTGTATGGCATTGCTTTTGTGATAGTCCATATGACACTTGTTCCAAAAAAACCTAAACCCCTGTCCCAATTAAGCACAAATTAGAGATATATTTTCAAACCTGAATGCCCAAGTCAAATTAAACTATTTTAGTAACCACTAAAGCAGTGGTCTCCAACCTTTTTACTCTCAAGATCACTTTTTGAATCTAAGGGCAATCCAGGCTCTACCCCATCCCTTTCCCGAGGCCCCGCCCCACTCACTCTCCCCCACCCTCACTCACTTTCACCGTGCTGGGGTAGGGGTTTGGGAGGGGGTGTGGGCTCTGGGCTGGGACAGAGGGGTTGGGGCTGGGGGTTGGAATGCAGGAGGGGGTGAGGGGTGCAAGCTCTAGGAGGGAGTTTGGGGCTCCAGGCTGGGGCAGAGTGTTGGGGTACAGGAGGGGGTACAGGGTGCTGGCTCTGGGAGGGGTTCAGGGCTGGGCTTTGGGGTGCAGGAGGGGCTTTGGGGTGCAGAAGAGGGTGTGGGGTACTGGCTCTGGGAGGGGGTTGGGGTGCGGCCTCCCGCCAGGCAGCACTTACCTCCGGTGGCTCCTGGTCGGAGGCGAGGCTAAGGCAGGCTCCCTACCTACCCCGGCCCCACACTGCTCCCAGAAGGGGCCAACACGCCCCTGCAGCCCCTGGGGGAGGGCGGGTGGCACGTGGCTCAATGCGCTGCCCCTCTCTGCAAGCACCACCCCTGCAGCTCTCCCAGCCAATGGGAGCGGGGGGGGGGGGGGCTGTACTTGCAGGCAGGAGCAGCGCGCTGACCATGGGGCCGCACTGGCTGCTTCCGGGAGCGGCATGGAGTCGGGGTAGGTAGGGAGTCTGCCTTAGCGGCAGCCACACTGCACCACTGGAGATGGTGATTGACTGGGAGATCCTCTAGGATTGACCAGTCAATCGTGATCGACCGGTTAGTGACCACAGCACTAAAGTATCCTTGTTACCATAATGGAATGTGTTTTGGAACACATGGGATAGGTAAAGTGGTATCCCATGTTTTATCACGTTTATCCATTTGAACTGATATCTAACTATTTTTCCTCTTTTGTAGTCTGGCTTTCATATTGGTGCATTGTGATTAGCCTAATCTCAGTATTTACTTCTTGGTTTGGAAATAACCAACCATGCTGCATGCACTTACTTTGTTGATGCACGAATTGTAGGATTGCCGGGGGAGCTCATATGGCTAGGGATAGCTCAGTGGTTTGAGCATTGGCCTGCTAAACCCAGGGTTGTGAGTTCAATCCTTGAGGCGGCCACTTAGGAATCTGGGGCAAAAATCAGTACTTTGTCCTGCTAGTGAAGGCTGGACTTGATGACATTTCAAGGTCCCTTCCAGTTCTAGGAGATAGGATATTTCTATTAATTTTTTTTATACAAACTAATTAATTTTAAACTGAACTGTGTTTGCAAGGTTCAAGTGCAGTTCATTAATACAGCGGTAAAACAGCTTTGAAAATACGCACTGTCGCTGCTTAGTAGATTACAGCTTTTAAACTGTTTTAAAGGAATGTGTAAACAGGGATAACGTTTGATTTCACATTACTGTTTTCTTTGCAAAATGCAATAAATCCAAATCATTACATTGTTTGACCAACACAGTATTAATCATGTTTAACATATGTGAATTTTATTGAAGCTTCCCCAAGTGCAAGTAATCCATCATACTTGAAAATAAAAGATCTGAATTGTTTCATTCTGTGCCAATAGGCTTCATGCACAATGTTCCCCCTGATCTAAAAAAAACTAAAGGAAAGATGCCAACTAACCTATTGTCTATAACTCAGATTTCTGCAAGAGAA